TATATATATATATATATATATATATATTCTACTGTGAAGGAAAATTCTATCCTGCTAAGCAAAGAAAACAGAGTAAAATCTACAAATACTTAAATCCAAATAGCAGGTCTGTTTCTGTCTAGACAGGTATTTATTTTAGATGTCGTTATTTTTTAACTCTTAGGAAGCCCCAAACACAGTGGTACATTTGCTTTTCAGTCTCTCTGTAGTTGACACTCAGCTTTCTTCTTTGTAATCTCATAGTGGTCTGCATTGTGGCTTCTAGAATTGCCAGTAAACACACATCATCTGCTGTGGGAGCCACTCATCTTTGGGATGAAATGAAGCTATCACAGAAATTTGCTATTAAAATATTATTCGCTATTTCCTTTTTCAAAATAAGGACCACTTTGTCTAACTGGTAGATTTCTGTGTACTCAGGATTTTAGTTTGAGGTTCAAACTGATATAAAGCAAGAAATGTGGCCATGTATTTCAGCAAGGAGTCTTCTCAAAGGATGAAAGTTCTCAGGAGGGGAAGCAGATAGAGCTTTCAACTTTCAGCTGCTTTTGTTCCTGAAATAATGGCTTGTGGTTGCAGGGCTACTAGTGGGAAAGCAGCTTGCTCTTTCCCAGGAGGACACAGAGAATCCCAGGGAGGAGATGGATTGCCAGGCCTGTCCCTCTCGGCTTCCAGAAAGACATTCGACTTAAGAAAGAAAGGATATTTTGGAGATGATCCCCCTGTCAGATGTGGGGTTGGTGAAGCTCTTTTTCCATTCTGTAGGGGAGCCGATTTTGTCTTGTTGACTGTGTTCTTTGCTTTACAGAAGCTTCTCAGTTTCAGGAGGTCCCATTTATTAATTGTTGCTCTCAGAATCTGTGCTACTGGTGTTTTATTTAGGAAGTGGTCTCTTGTGCCTATGTATTTAAATGTATTTCCCACTTTCTCTTCTATGAGATTCAGTGTGGATGGATTTATATTGATGTCTTTGATCCATTTAGACTTGAGTTTTGTGCATGGCAATAGATATGAATCTATTTGCATTCTTCTGTGTGTTGACAGCCAGTTATACCAGCACTATTTGTTGAATATGTTTTCTTTCTCCCATTTTACATTTTTAGCTTGTCAAAAATTAGGTGTTCATAGGTGTGTGGGTTGATACCAGGGTTTTCAATTTGATTCTATTGGTCCACCTGTCTGTTTTCATGCCAGTCCCATGCTGTTTCCTTACTATAGCACTATAGTAGAGCTTGAAGTCAGGGATAGTGATGCCCCCAGATTATCCTTTATTGTACAGGACTGTTTTGTCTTTCCTGGGTTTTTGTTTTCCATATGAAGTAGAACATTGTTCTTTCAAAGTCTATGAAGAATTATGCTAGGATTTTGATGGGGATTGCATTGAACCTGTAGGGTTCTTTTGGTAGGATTGTCTTTATATGCAAAGAACTCAAACCTCAAACTAGACATCAAAGTATCAAATAATCCCATTAAAAATGGGGTAGAGATCTAAACAGAGAATTCTCAACAGAACAATCTCAAATGGTGGAAAAACTCTTAAGTAAATGCTCAACATCCTTAGTTATCAGGGAAATGCAAATCAAAATTACTCTGAGATTCCATCTTACTCCAATCAGAATGGCTAAGATCAAAAACACCAATTACAGCGTATGCTGGAGAGGATATGGAGAAAGGGGAACACTTCTCCATTGATGGTTAGAGTTAAAACTTGTACAGTCACTGTGGAAATCAGTATGGTGATTTCTCAGAAAATTAGGGATCAACCTACCTCAAGACCCTGCAATACCACCAAAGGAGACACATTCATACCACAAAGACATTTGTTCAACTGTGTTCATAGCAACATTATTCATAATAGCTTGAACTTGGAAACAACTTAGATGCCCCTCAACTGAAGAATGGATAAAGAAACTGTGGTATATTTACAAAATGAAGTACTACTCAGTGTTGAGAAACAATGACATCCTATAATTCACAGGCAAATGGAGAGAAGTAAAAAAAACAAAAACAAAAACAAAAAACCAACAATAAAAAAAAAACCATCCTGAGTGAGGTAAACCAAAACCGGAAAGACAAATGTAGTATGTACTCACTCATAAGTGGATACCAGACATAAAGCAAAAGATATCGAGCCTACAATCCACACCCCCAGAGAAGCTAGAACCCTCTTCCAAAACAGATGGAAGCAGAAATCCACAACTAATCAATGGGCCAACCTCCTGGAACACAATTGAAGTGAGGGAGGAATGATAATATGTACAAAGGAATCAAGACCATGATGAGGCAACCCACAGAATCAGCTGACCTGAGCTAGGGAGGGATCACTGACTTGTGCCTGACAAATGGGGAATCTGCATAAGACCAAACTAGACTCCCTTAATATAGGTGACAATAGTATGACTGGGAAAATATATGAGGTCACTGGCGGTGGGTCCAACATCTACCACTAATGCACAAACTGACTTAGTGGAGCCCATTCTATATGGAGAGACAACTTGCTCAGCCTAGACACAGGTGTATAGGGGGTGGAGAGTTGCCTTGGTTCTGCTTCAACTAGATGATGGCACAGATTTAGACTTCCTAGGGGAGGCCTTGCCCTCTCCAAAGAGCAGATGGGAGGAGGGAGGGGAAACTTGGCTTTGAATGTAAACAATAAAAAATTATTGAAAAAGAGAAAGAAGGGATAACGGCCTCAAGGGAAATAATATTTAGGTTTTGTTATAAATGAGATTAATCTTTGTAGATAATGGATGTAGACCTTGTATTTTCTGTGCATTAACATATGTAAATATTCATTTCAAAATGGGGATTGTTGTGGCAGGGGAAAGTAGGTATGGTTTTGTATTTGGTGAGATAAATGAATCAAAAACTCTTACTTTAGACCCGATCTCCTAAAAGGTGGGGAGTATGTGTGGGAGCAATGTCCAAAGGTCTATAAATGGCATAATACAGTTTTTCTACTTGAATATGCCAATATGTAGTCTTTAGTAGTATTGTACATGAGACAGAGGGGCATCTGAAATGTTGGCTTTCAACTACTTATGAAAACCTAAGTATCTTGGGCAAAAGAAGGGAATTTCATTTCATGTGTATTTAATAACAAAGAAGGGGAGGGGCATATACTGATATTGATGTTACTAGAAAAGACAAGAGAAAACCACTGTTCAAGCCGGGAAAATCAGCCTATAGGAAGACATACCGCATGGCAGTTCAGATATAGTTTAGAGAATGAAGACAGCTCACTCAAATGCTGTTACTGCATCATACCTTCTGGAAGCACCTTCACAGAAGGAATCTGTAGATCTGGCCAACAAACTATCAGATTGCTTATGGGGATTCTTCTATGACTACATCAAGGAGACAGTAGGACAGGGTACTTTCTAATTTTCCAGGAACTGGTTATTTGTGTGACATTTAACCCTTGCAGTCTGACTCAGAAATGCCTTCTTCAGCTCTATAATTCTTTTCAAGTGAATTCTGGGAACAAGTTGGATCTAAGTTATTATCAATGTCACAACAGACAGAACCACCTAGCATTTGGGGGGAATGTTCTGTAGAGGTTGATTCATGATTTTCCTTCTGAATAACCCTTTCCCATGTCAGCCACGTGTGTGTGTGTGTGTGTGTGTGTGTGTGTGTGTGTGTGTGTGTGTGTGTAATGGGCATCATCAAGAAGTCATCTAAGAAGTCTGTGGTGTACTAGGTGAAGAAAATATTAGTTCCACAATGAGGGCAGGCTCATAAATAAGCTCCCCTTAGGTCATCATAAATAGACAATTAAAGTCACAGTTGCCATAGAGAGGTTAATTTAAATAAAAGCCAACCAGGAAAACTTATGGATAAGAAGTAATTCCCCTGATTTTTTCATTGCCTTCTCCCTGGGAAAGAAGTTATTAATTGTTCATTACAAGGTATTCCATAATCTCCTCACCAGATAGATGGGAGCTATTTGTCTGTGGCCACAATTTTGTCACAGTTTTATTTAATATAATTTCAACATCACCCTTAAGACACTTTGTTTCCTATGTGTGTGAAACAAAATTGAATTCTAAGCTTTTAAATGTGATGTGTGTGTATTCATTTAGTTTGCAGTATTTGTCATAGAATGTAAAGTAATCTGGCAGCAAACAGCACTTTATCATCCCTGCCATTGTTTCTTCAATGAACTAATTCCATTAAGGAATTCTTTATTATTCCATAGGCATTCTTCTTCAAAAATAAATCTGCATACAAAATAGCTAAGAATTTAGAAGCTTCAAAATATGAAGTATCATGGAAACACATGCACCCCCCCCACACACATATACATTTCTATCCAGTTAGCCACAGAACTAAAGGATGTAATTTTTTTAAATGTAATTAAAAAAAAAACGGAGTTTGACTATGGAGGAGTAGCTAGCTGGAAAGTTGGAAGGGAGCCAGGTGATGGTATAACAAGAGGTGTGGGTGTGAAGAGTAGATGGTAAGAGGAAGAGGTAAGAGCTGGCAGGGAACAGCAAGGAAAATGACAATGAATAGATTTAATACATCAATATGGTGGCAGAATAGAATGGCTATTTTGAGGGTACAAAACCTTCCAAGCTTTTCCAGTGCTGAACATGTTACTGTGTGTTAGCACTTAATGACACCTGAGAGCCAAGAAATCACACTATATCAGTGTATCAGAGATATTAATAAAGCAATGGCAGTTAATATTTCACTTTATTTGAAAAATAAATATTTGAAACCTTCCAATATCTATTTTGAATACTAATTTCCTAAGTAGGCTACCTTAGCACAACTTCCCTGCCGTTTTTTTTTTTTTTAAATCTGTCCTGAATGCTTGTTTCATTCATTGACATAACCGTGTGTGTGTGTGTGTGTGTGTGTGTGTGTGTGTGTGTGTGCGTGTGTGTATGTGTGTGTGTGTGTGTAAGATGTTGAACATGTGTCTCAAAAACAAGGCCATATGTAGATTGCCAGACAGACATTATTGTGGTGATATCTTACTTGCACAAATAAAGCTTGTCTGAAGATCAGAGGATGGAACTTGCCACTAGCTAACTATAGGGTCAGGAGGTCTGCACAGACAGACAGGAAGTGAAATGGCTAGGCTGAGGGAAATGGAACTTGCTCTCCTTTCTTCTGGGAAGCCAATGAGGTAATGGTGGCTTTGGCTTGCTCCTTCTGTCTGATCTCTCAGCATTTTCCTCTATATCTGACTCCAGGCTTTTATTGTTTAGACCGATTAAGAACTCCATTTACACATTTTATTACCCCAATGTTTCCAAAAATGGGCACAGCTCCATTTGCTTAACTACAGGCTACCACTCATAAGCTTTCCTGCATTGCATGCTCTTGAAGTTTTCTGCAAACTACTTGTAGCCTAAAAATCACAAACTCTTACTTCTTATTTTTTCCTAATTAGAAACTTAGTAGATGGTTGTTGGTGGAAAACGTCTGTAGTATCAAGCTAAGGAGAAGTGTGAGCATGATTTGGGTTAGCAAAATTGCCCTGGGGGTTGTCAGGATGAGACGCCAAGCCGCTTAGGGACCCCTCCATGATGCCATGCTATGCTGGTCATCTCTGTGGGCTGCTGTCTTCCCAGGTAGACATGACAAGGGTATCCCTGTGCATCTTGAATATTTCCGAAGCTCAGAGTTGTAGCAAAGAGTCAAATCTGAAGAAGCATCTTCTGGGCATCCAGTCCTAGCTAGAGGAGATGGGAACTCTGGATACATTACTACATCTCGAATTTCTGAGGACTTTTAAGTGGCTACTCCTTCAAGCTCTACCATGTTAGTACCTCTCACTCTGTTTTATAGCTGTGACTAAGAACTGAACTCAGCAAGTTTATTTTGGTGTTGACTTTGGGCATTAGACTTTGTGTGGATTCTTCCAGTCACTTTTTAAGGCAGACACTCTGAAGAGATATCATGAGCAGAGGCAGGTTTAGAGCAGGGCTTTGGGCTTTCTGTTATCCCTCATCAGGCCATGGAACTCTTTCCAGCCTGGTACCTGCCAATGATCTGCGCACTGCTTCATATTTCTAAATCAACTGGAATGTTTTCATATTTCTCTATGGAGAAGAAATCGCAGCTCTTCCATCTGGCCTTGGTAGCTCACTCATATGTCATAGGTTAAAGTTGTTTTGGACCTCTAGACTTTTATAAAGTAAGGGAACACATGGATACATGTTCAAGCAGTTTATCCTGAAAATGACTGCCATCACTGCAGTTAGGAGTAACAACCACTGTTGTTTACTAGTCATTTATCATCACTGTGCTAAGCACACTGCACACGTCTCACATAAACTTTGCAACACTAGCAGGTTATAACTTAAGGTAAGAAAATGGGCTTACAATGAAGGAAGAAAAATCATGAACCAACAGTGGAACTAGATGGCAAAATTCCACCATCTCATTCCATGAACTGTATCTCAATAATTATTAGTTAATAACCCTTGGGAAATGGTACTACCTTTACTTTGAAAGTGTTTAAAATGATAGCCTTTTGTTTTATGGATGATAATATACAAAAGCAATGACAAGGTCTTTCCCCCTAACATTTTATAAGAAACAAGATATAATAGAAGCTGTAGACAGCCTATGGGAAACCTGAAAAAATAACCATATCACATACTTGTAAAATACGATCCCCTTCTCGAATCCGGCCATCCTTGGCAGCAATGCTATTCGGATCAACCTGTAATAGAGAATGCATACATCTTCAGGGCCATACACTATCCTTCTAAGGGTTTAAAATGTAGTTTTTAAAAATATATTACCTGCTGGGCGTTGGTGGCGCACGCCTTTAATCCCAGCACTCGGGAGGCAGAGGCAGGTGGATCTCTGTGAGTTCGAGGCCAGCCTGGTCTCCAGAGTGAGTGCCAGGATAGGCTCCAAAGCTAAACAGAGAAACCCTGTCTTGAAAAACCAAAAAAATATATTACCTTAAGATATTATAGTTATAGATTGTATTGGCTCAGTTCTCTATTGATTTATGACAGGGTGTGTGCCATTTTTCTCTGTCAAAACCACTAATTCTAAAGCTGTAAACAAACCTCTTTAGAGTTAACAATAATAAAATGGACCATGGCAGACCTTTATTTGTGGGCCATTTTCCATCCCCTCCCTCCATCCATGCCTTCCCTTTCCACATCCTTTCTGAAGCCCCGTTGTCATACAGTCTTTAGCTGACAAGGTGAATGACATCATTAACACCAGGGTTTTTCTAGACCCAGGAACTTTACATATTATGCTATGGTGACCTGTAAGTAATACTGGAGATGTATTAGGGACGCTGATAGATATCATAAGCCCATCCTTATTAAAGGGATTTAGGACCCACAAGCATATTATTTTAAAAGATTTTTAGTCTCTATTTCTCAAGAATTAAAAAAAAAAAACCTATCTGTACATTCTGTTACTCAGCACCACTTTACATATAGTGCTAGTTAAATCAACTTTGCATTATTAGAACAAACAGATGTTTAAAGCTCTACCAAGAATGTTTCACGATTGTAACAGGCTAAACTTGAGTGATGGCTTTCAGTTGATTGAGGGCAATTTTAACTATTCAGTTCCTGTGGTAGTTTCAACTAATTTCTAGAGGCTTATTCCACCAGCTTCCTGTCTGAGTGTTTCAAGTACTGCATGAGGTTGATTTGTTCAGTTCCAACATCACATGTTATTAGGAGTCCCATCTGAAAACTGAGAATAAGATGATGAATGAAACAGTAGGCCCTGTGCTCATACTTGGGAGGTATGCTGACAACTCTTCCCAACTGCACATGTTCAGCTCCTGTGGCTTCTTTATCACCTCTGAAAAGAGAGGCTTCAAATCTGACCCATTTAAATACTAAACAGATATTTAAACAGAATGAAGAGGATTGGATTATTAATGAATTGTATCCCTTTTAAAAGCCATCCACCACATGGAACTATGTCCTTAAAACTGTAATCAAATCACCCATAAGACTGCCTGTTTCTGTACAAGTTGCAGAAAAGGTTTCAGCACCTGTTTTATTCCTCCATTCCTCAGTGAGAAGGATCACTGGAGTCATTCATTTTAAAGAAATGGCCAAATGAAATACACTCTGGAGAATTTTCCAGGTGAGTGGGAGGCAGCAAAATCTTTGAAGTGATAAAAAAAAAATACTGTTCTGTATTTTCAGAGTTGTGCTGCTGTCCAAGTGTGTTAGTAGCAGATCTCTTGTAGTCTAAGCAACTCTGAAGAAAACTGTCGGTGGAGTTTGCTAGATACTGTTTTTAACATTGTATCCATCAAAGCTCAGGCTGCAGAGAATATTAGCATCTAGTTTGCCTAACCTTACAGACTTTTCTGCAGGGACTAAGCTATGGAATAGGCACATCTTATGGCTACATGCATAGTGTTAAACCATAAGTATTTTTTTATTAAAAACACATACTGTTATGCTGATTCTAAAATGAGTTGCTTTTACTGAAATCTATTGCAATAAATTCTGCTCGGTGGTCTTTCAAGCTAACACTAAAATGGGGACTCAAATGTAATTCTTGGCCTCCTGAAAATGATCATGTAGTTGACTAAAAGAAATGGACAGATGTACTTTTTGGGTATTTAAATCTCTCCACCCCACCCACAGAGTAAAAGAGGTGATTATTATGACTGTTAGTTTAAAATAATTAGCCAATACTGTTGTTAGCAGAATATAAAAGATGCAATGGAATGGAAGGACAAATGCTTGGGGACCAGAGCTCAGCTCAGCCTGCTGCTCTCTTATGGGATCTTGCGGGAATTTATTCAAATTTAGACAGTGTTACCACTTTCACACTTTTCCTTGCTGAGATTCTGCAGGGAAAGCCTCCACACTAAACAAGCTGATGATAATTGCATTACTTGGGCAGCATAATTTGCTTTCCTAATTGAAAGTGGCAAGAATTGGAAGGCAGCCAGTTCTTCACATTCAGACCTTGCAAAGAGGCTTTTCTCCTCCTGAGCCCTTTCAAGTCATCCCTCCTCCCTCCCCTCTCCTTCAGGTCCTCACTGCAGCACCTCTTACCTCGCTGACATAAATGCCCATGTCTTCTTCATCATCGGTTCGGTAGCAGACAGTCAGGCCCAGCTTTTCTTGACTGCTAACACGACACAACTCGACCTCCTGTGAGAATGGCATGCATATTGAAACATTAATCTCAGAGTGGAAACTCAAAGATACAGTTCCCATCACTGTGAGAAGTTTTAAACATTGTTGTTTAATATCTGAACTGAACTTTCCTAAACCCAAATCATTGAGATTTACTTTTACCAGGTATTTCTGTGTAGTCAAATCAGCATTTCAAATTTTCATTTTGTAGTTGGAAATACACAGAATTACATGAGTTCATACATAAGACTGCATAGATTTTTAAGTTGAAATAATAATGTATTTGAGTATATCAAAGAAGGTAGAAAAGCTCCACAAACATTGTTGCTGTATTTCCCTCTCTAATGCAATAAAATGGCATAAGTTTGAACAGGAAAAGGACTATACTGCATCTTCTTTGTCAGGTCTTCCTCTGATTTGGTATACTGTGATATAAAGCAAGGGTTTGTGTAGGCCAGGTTAAAGTTTTCTATTATTCCACAGAATCCCTCACCCTTGGGAAGAAATGGGTTTGTCAGTTGAAGGGCAAGACATCAGCCACCATATGGGGCAGAGGGGATGAAGAATGAACAAGAAAATACATTCACTGACATGTACTGCTAAGGGGCTGGGATGCCAGCCTCAGGTAATGTGTACTGAATCTATTTCCTGATTTATGTTCGGTGTGTGTGTGTGTGTGTGTGTGTGTGTGTGTGTGTGTATGTAACAATTATGAAGTCTAGTAATATATTGATATGACTTACATGTCTGTTTTTTTCCAGATTGAATGCTGAAATCCTAACCCTCAAGGTGATTTTATGACGAGGAGACAGGGCCTTTAGAAGATACTTAGGTCATGAGTAGTAAGGTCCTGGAGGCAATTAGTGCTCC